CTTGAAAAATAGCCTTGACCTCAAGGCTGAAATTGAGGATATTTTGTTTCTATCTCAGAATGATCAACCCACGTAGCATCCTCTGGAAAAGAATTCGTCCATTGGACTAACCACTGAACCACAGCCTTATTACCCCGCTTAACCATCCTCCTATCCAAGACAGCCATAGGTTCCAGTTGCAAAGTGCCCTCAAGACCTACTGGGGGAAGAGTAGTGTGAGCTAACACATTAGTCCCGATTTTCTTCTTAAGCAGTGAGACATGAAAAACAGGGTGAATTTTAGTAGTTGTTGGTAACTCCAGCTTATAAGCTACTGCACCTACCCTTTCCAAGACCTGATATGGTCCATAAAACCTTGGAGATAGCTTCATATTTCTCTGCAAAGCCACTGTAGTCTGCTTATAAGGTTGTAACCGAAGGAACACCCAGTCCCCAATGTCAAATTCCCTTTCAGACCTGCCCTTATCAGCATAATGTTTCATCCTCTGCTGTGCCTGAGTTAAATGCTCCCTCAAGGTCTTGATAATAGCAGCCCTCTCTTTTACCCAATTATCCACAACTGCTACTGAAGAAGGTGTGGAAAGGCAAAAAGTATGGTCAGGAGGTTCTTGTCCATAGACTGCAAAGTAAGGAGTAGTTTTGGTGGCAGCATGATAGCTGGTATTATACCACCACTCAGCTAAAGAGAGCCACTTAGCCCACTGCCTAGGACAGTCTCCAGACATACACTTGAGGTAGTTCTCCAAACATTTGTTCAGAATTTCAGTTTGACCATCCGTTTGAGGGTGATAAGCAGTGCTAAGACACAGCTTACAGCCCTGTAAAGTGAAAAGTTCATGCCAGAAATGGCTAGTAAACACAGCATCTCTATCTGAAACAATGGTAGAAGGAAGACCATGCAACTTAAACACTTGATCAAAGAAAACTTTGGCCACATTTGTAGCGGTATAAGGATGTGATAAAGCCATGAAATGGCCATATTTTGACAACCTATCGACTACTACAAAGATCGCAGTCTTGCCTTGAGAATTTGGTAAACCTTCAATGAAATCCATGGAAATATCAGACCATACCCTATTAGGAATGGGAAGGGGCTGCAATAGGCCTGGATACTTGACATTTTCACTTTTGTACCTCTGACATGTATCACATTCAGAAATGAACTGAGCCACATCCTGCTGTAGGCCCTTCCAATAAAAACTCCTATGTAGTCTTTTTGTGGTCTTGATTATTCCCGAGTGTCCTCCCAAAGGTGAAGAATGGAGGTCCTGGATAAGTTGCATCCTGAGGGCTGAGTTCCCAACTACCAACCTACCATGGTAGGTTAAAATATCATGGTCCCAAGCATAACCAGCATTAGCTTGACCTTGCTGCAGGTCCAATATCAACTGTTGAATGTCAGCATCTTCACTCCAACTAAGCTTAACTTCAGCCAACCAACTGGTAGAGATACAAGATAAAGCATGAATCATACCTATTGAATCAGCAGTATTGACCAACTCTTCTTTCCTGGACAAAGCATCAGCAACTTGGTTATCTTTCCCACATTTGTATGTGATAGTGTAGTCAAAACCCAATAGCTTGGTCACCCATTTTTGCTGGAAAGGAGTTCCCACTCTCTGCTCCAAAAGATATTTCAGGCTTTGGTGGTCAATCCTAATAAGGAAATGCCTACCTAGAAGGTAATGCCTCCATTTGAGGACTGCCAACACTACTGCCATTAATTCTTTTTCGTAGGTAGATAGAGCTTGGTCTCTTGCTGAAATGCCCTTACTCCAATAGGCAATGGGATGTCCATCTTGCATAAGCACAGCCCCAAGGCCTGTGCCAGAGGCATCTGACTCTAAAACAAAGGCCTTACTATAATCAGGTAAGGCAAGGACTGGTGTTGAAAGTAGGGCAGCTTTGAGTTGAAGAAAAGCTGTTGTAGCTGTAGAGGACCATACAAAGGAATCTTTCTTGAGCAAACAATGAAGTGGAGAGCAAATTCGACCATAATGCTGGATAAATCTTCTGTAATAACCAGTGAGACCCAGAAAACCCCTCAATTCCTTGATAGTAGAAGGGATTGGCCAAGATTTGATAGCTTGTAACTTTGTTGGTTCTGCAGAAACACCCTTAGCTGAAACTAAATGTCACAAGGTCATTTCGATTCACGATACGAATCTCGATTTGACAACTATGGCAGAAACACCCTTAGCTGAAACAAAATGTCCCAAATACTCCACCTCATCCTTTCCAAAAACACATTTGGACATTTTTGCAAACAAATGATGTTGCCTAAGCAATTGTAAAGTGAGCTGCAAATGCTTTAAATGGTCTCCCCATGACCACTATATACCAGGATATCATCAAAAAAGACCAGAATAAATTTCCTTAAAAAAGGTCTAAAGACTTCATTCATGAGACTTTGAAAGGTAGAAGGGGCATTAGGAGTCCAAAGGGCATCACTAAAAATTCATAGTGCCCATCATGGGTTCTAAAAGCCGTTTTGTCAATGTCAGAGGAATGAACCCTGATTTGGTGATAGCCCGACTTGAGATCCAGTTTAGAAAAATACTGTGCCCCACATAATTCATCCAAAAGTTCATCAATTACTGGGATAGGAAACTTATCTTTGACAGTAGCGTTATTAAGAGCCCTATAATCCACACACATTCTCCACGTGCCATCTTTCTTCTTAACCAATAGCACTGGCGAAGAATATGGACTGACACTAGGCCTTATTATACCAGAGGTAAGCATGTCTTTTACTTGTTTCTCAATCTCAGTTTTTTGAAAATAAGGGTACCTGTAAGGTCTCACATTTGCAGGTTCAGTCCCTGGTTTCAGAGGGATGCAATGGTCATGAGATCTAGGAGGAGGTAAGTCCTTTGGCTCTTGAAATATATCTGCAAAGGCAGACAGCAAAACTGCCAAATCTGGTGGAGTTTCCTCTTCCCTCACAAGACAATCAGCTTGCAACAAATAGAGTTGGGCTATGGCTCCTTGTGGCTGTTTGTGCAGCAACTTCTGCATTTTTTCTGAGCTTAAAACCTTTAACTCATCTTTCTTTACCCCAGTTAAGGACCAAGGCCAATGTGGTAAGTAATAATTTTGTAGACCGCAATGCATAAAAGAAAAATGACTATGATGTTTTTTTTTTTCTAACTCTTTTATTTGTTATCAACATATAGGATGTTGTTGGGCGTTTTCGGCTGTGGCAGCCATGGAAGGAATTAACCAATTAACAACTGGTAAGTTAATCTCGCTATCTGAACAAGAGCTAGTTGATTGTGATGTATCTGGTGAAGACCAAGGTTGCGGGGGTGGTCTTATGGATGAGGCCTTTAAATTCATCGAACAAAACAATGGGCTGACTACTGAAACAAACTACCCATACAAGGGAACTGATGACACTTGCAACAAAAACAAAGCAGCAAACCATGCAGCTAAGATAACTGGGTATGAAGATGTGCCTGCCAACAGTGAGAGTGCACTACTTAAGGCTGTTGCTAATCAACCTATCTCTGTTGCCATTGATGCGAGTGGATCTGACTTCCAATTCTATTCAAGTGGAGTCTTTACAGGAACCTGTGGCACTCAACTAGACCATGGTGTCACTGCTATTGGTTATGGGACTGCTACTGATGGGACTAAATACTGGCTTGTTAAAAACTCATGGGGCACAGCATGGGGTGAACAAGGATACATACGGATGCAAAGAGACATCAATGCTCAGGAAGGTCTATGTGGCATTGCAATGATGGCTTCATACCCAACTGCATAAGATTAAAAAATGAAGAAGTTCCTACGTAGAATAATGCGTATTGCTTGTTAATTCTACTATTTCTCAGTTGTTGGTTGTTTATAGCCATTGCAAAATTGTGTACTTCCTATATTACATCAATGTAAAATTAATCAAAGTCTCAATTATTATGGGCAATATGTTAATTTCTTTCCTTGAACTCACTTGTTGATATAGCAATCCTATGAGCATGTTTAGTATATATGACTTAATTGGAGGGGAAAAAATGTAATTGGAAGGCATTATATTTCACGGTATCTTTTAAAAAGTTTTAATTGGTTTCAACTGGGACCATTCTCTCAACTGTATGAGAATAACGATTTTGCTCAATATAAGCTAATTGAAATTCTCATGTAGTTGAGAATGAAGTGATTTTGTTGCTTGCTCATATTTAAGTCTCTTCTAAACGGAAGTATATGCGTATATAGGAAAACAAAGCCAGTGACATTGAAATACCTGAAGAAGACAAGTCTATCGCTCGTGCATCATTGAACTTGCCTGTATTTGGCCATCATACAAGCTTCCTTGGAAGATGACGATGCTGGCTCTGATGATAATGAATAAGTATGCGTCAATTTCAGCTTTGTTAGCACTTCGATATTTCCACATTTATTGGATTAGACATGCTGAGATGATTGTTTGCTTGCTGGGGACCTCTTTTAGGGAAAATTAATATTGTTCCCTAGTCTGTCCCATGGTAAAAATTAAATGTAACCCCTTTTGGTTGTTGTGAGTTTTCTTTTGCAATAAGAGATTCTTGTAGTAGCTAGGGAAGAAGAAGCAAAGGCTTAAGGAAGAAAGCACAAAATCTGTATTATTTTTCAGAATTTTACATACCCCCCATATGGGAGTTCCTCAATTATTTATAACTACTTCTTTGCCTCACCCTTCTAACTGCCTAACTAATTCACAACTGAGGTAACTGACTAACTAATTCACAACTGATGTAACTGACTGACTAACTAATCTCTCAACCACTACCTAACTAACTTCCTTCAATTGACCCATAATCCAGAATAATCCAGAACCTTCTTGACATAACATAGTGTTTCTGGCCGGAGGATACTTGATGAAAAATAATTTCGAGTGCTGTGTGCTCGGAGTCGAGACAGAGCTCTCTTAAAGGTATGAACTCCTTTTATAATGGTTGTTTGTCTTGTTCTAATTATTTCATTTGGTGGCCTTCTTGGTTGGTTGGGTCATGTGCTGCTTTTGGAAGTTATAATGGAGTTATATTAAAATAAAATATACAACATTCAGAGACCAAGAAAATAAAAAATAATAAGACTCTAAAAAGTAAAAATAAACAAGTTAACAAGAAGTACAAACAATAAAATACCAAATCGTTAAAAAAAATTACGATTTGAGAAAAATCACTGATCTTTTCACACGTGGTTTGAAAAAGTAAAATTTACATCAAATTTGCTGTTGTTGCTGCCCAACTTGGCAATTATTGTCGTCGCACTTCGATCACCGCTAGCAGGTAGAGTTGAAGATTAAGTGTAGCAGACAATTCCATTGATTTATGTCAGCCCAAAAAGACTTAAAAAAAAAAGGGGGGGATTGGCGATTATTTTGAGTCTCTAAGATTATTAGGAATTGGCAAGTGGGTGGAGTTGAAGCGGGTACATAATTATCACTTAATTTTACGGACATACAATCGATAATGGAACTAACCACATAAAATAAAAGTGTGGAGCAAGTACAGTAAAGTTGTATTTTTTTATTTATTTTTAATAATGGGTTCAACATGTGATATGTGTGGTCAAGATTATTTTTTGCGACTAATTGTGTCTTTAGTCTTGTGTAAACCAGTTTGAAAATCTATTTTTTGGAGAAAAAAAATTCAAAAATTTAAAACTAACATAGTGAATTTTTTTTTGAAATAAATTAGAGATCAATGCTTTTTACAATAACACTATTAAAATGCTTTTTATTTTGAAAAAAAAAATTGATTTAGTGTAAAATTTTTAAAAAATAACAAATAAATGGTAAATTTTATACATTAATAATTAAAATTATAATTTTTTTTTATAATTTTGTATTTAATTTGCTGGAACTCCCACTGACAAGTAATTTTTCTTTTTATTTTTAAGGGTAATTACAAAAAAATTTAGAATTTGACCTTTATAATAAAATAAATCTTGAATTTTTAATTTTATTAATTTAAACTTTAATTTTTTGATTTGTTTTCAATAAAAATTATTAATGAATTTTCATTACGTAGAAGTAATTAAAAAAATAATTTAATGATTAAACTTAATAAAAAATAATATTTTATATATTTTATGTATATCTACGTTTAGTTTAGATTGAATATAAATTAAAAGATTAAAAATTTAAATTAATAAAATTTAAATTTATAATTTATTTTGTTATAAAAGTTTTTTTTTTTTTATATATTTATTCCGATTTTTAATTTTCAGTATGAATGAGAGTATATGAATCGGGAAAAAGGTACTTGTATTATGACTCTGAGCAAACCTTGCTTAGCTTCTTCTTTTTTTTCTTTTTTCTTTTTCCTTTTCCTTTTCTTTTTTTTGTTTTTTTCTCTGATTCTTGAAACGAAATCATGAAATTGGTATGTAAGGAACTCTCGGAAGATTGCTGGAAATTGATTCTGAATCGATTAGCAATCGATGACTTCAACTCCTTGCAATCCCCTTCTTTGGTCTGCAAGCAATTCCTCTCAATCACGGATCGAATTCGACTCAAATTGGAGGCCTCCGACAGATTGTTCTACAGAAATAACTGTGATGCTTTATTCAGATCCCTTCAACGATTCAGAAACCTCAAAGAGATCGAGCTTCGTGATCCTATCTTCGGTGACAAAGCCGATGTCAACTACCCCATTCGAAGAATCGCTTCTTCAGGGTTAGATCTTCAATCCCTCTCTCTAACCTGTTTACCAAAACCCCCATTCCTGAAAACTTTCATGAAATTGGGTTCCACCATGAAGAACTTGAAGATTCTAAGATGTTGTCTACTCGAGTGTCTTCGCAATCACCACCTTGTTGCTATAGCTGATGCTTTACCATGGCTTGAAGAGCTCGATATCCAGTTTTCCTGCTGCTATTGGAGCCCTGGGCGGGATTCAAATTCTAGAAGCGCAAAGTAC